TAGGTATGACACCAAATTGATTTTTAGATATACTTATCTTTTTTATTAGTCTTTGCTCAATTACACTCTCCCAAAGTTTCATAGTATGACTTATGAGTTTTATACCTCGAAAATTTGAATAACTTTGTATATCCCCTTTATTCTTATATATCGATATCAAAGTACTAATACTCCACTTATCCGGCATTCTTTTCGTCTTAATAATCTTACTAAATAGTTTAGTTAATCTATCTAAGTCTATATCTCCAAGATATTTTCAAACTTCAATATGGATATTATCCGGTCCAACGGCTCTTTCACTTTTTATTTTCTTTAGAGAATCTTTAACCTTGGTAATCCTAATTTTTCGACAATATCTATAGTTCATATCATTCACTATATGCTCAAAATCTCTATTTTACTCACTTGTTTGGTTATCATTAAACAATTGATGAAAGTAACTCCTCTACCTCTCTATTATTTTCCTGTTGGTCACTAGGACTCTTTGATCCTTACTTTTAATACAACCTAATATTACCTAAATTTCTACTCTTCCTTTCTCTCATCTTAGGAAGCTTATATATATCTTTCTCTCCCTCCTTAGATTCTAACTTCTTATAAAAGTGTTCATAAGCCTTGTATTTATTCTCACCAACTGCTCTTTTTCTTCCTTTCTTGCTAGTTCATATTTTTCTAAGTTTTTTCTACTCCTATATTTTTTCCACTCTTTATATAAAGTTTTCTTCTCTCTAATAATCTTTTTCATACTCTCATTCCACCATCAACTCTTCTTACTGTCTAATCTATAATAGATTCTCTTAGTATATCTTTAGCCACTTTCCTAATACAAGAAGACATGGTATTCCATATAATATTAGTCTCATTATCTATGTTCCATATATCTTCTTTCATTATCTTATCTTTAAAATATATTAAATTCTCTCTTTTTAAATTCCATCATTTAGTTCTTAGTCTCTTGTTCACGTTAGTTTTTCTACACTACTTCTTAATAGATATGTCTAAGACCATCAATTTATATTGTGTACATAAACTCTCTCCTGATATAACTTTACAATCTTTACATATTAACATATCCATCATTCTAGTAAGAAAGATGTTTATTTGACTATTATTTTAAAAGTTATTAAGTGTTCATCCCTTTTTTTAAAAAGTATATTTGCTATTATCAAATCATACGATATTACAAACTATAAAATTAATTTACCCATATCGTTCTTATCTCCATATCTAAAATATTCATGTATCCTCTCATATCCGGTATTATCCTTACCAATATGCCCATTAAGATCCCCTCCTATAAATAATCACTCTTCAAATGGGATTCCTTGTACTAATTCATCTAATCTATCCTAAAATTCTCTTTTAGTACTCTCGGGCAAGCCTATTTTTGGTGCGTAAATACTAATAATATTAATAACCTCTGCAACTAAGATAACTTTTATTAGTATTAGTCTATCTCTAACTCTTCTTACCTCTATAACACTTTCTTTTATTATATTATCTATAAGAACACCCACTCCATTCCTATTCTTTTCTTTTCTTGTATACCAAAGTTTATCTCCGGTCTTTTCAATTTCTTTAGATTTTTTACCTGTCTGTTTAGTTTCTTGTAAATAAGTTATATTTATCTTTCTTCTAAGCATGACATCCACTAATTTTATAGTCTTTTCGGTAACTGTACATATATTCCAAGTAGCTAATCTAATTCTATTTTCTTATAAAAGTCTTCTATCATTTGCCCTCTTAGACCGTTCTAGTCTATGCCTAATACTATTAGGTAACCTATTAGAGGATCGTAGATTTTTAGAATGCCCTTACTTATCATTACACCAGGGTGATATCGATATAATGCGTCGCTTCAGGGGACACCCTAGCAAACCATTCTTACTTACTTATCATTGCATCAGTGGTGGCATTGATGTAACACATCACGGTGGGGATGCCCTAATGAATATATAATAGGATTCATTTTTTATATGGACCCGAGTATGTTTTACGCTGACTGTCGGCTACCTAACACAACCCTCCTCATTTATCCTGACTTGGGACAGGTAGTGCTAACAATAAACACAGCACTGACAGAGTTGTCCGTGAAAATTTATACGCTAGAGAAAATTCATTGAGAATATACATAACACAATGCTAGATGAAAGATAAAAATACAGCAATAGTAGTTAAGCGGAAGAATTAAAAGACTGAACATCTAGCTTTTCTTGTTGGCCTCTTTGTTTTGATGATGTTTAACAAATAATTTATTACTAATGTTGTTTGTCTAGTGTTTGTATTTATCTATTTATTGTAGACAAACAACATGTTGGAGGTTGGATGGAATTGTGCTATAACGATCATATCAAATGGAGGTTGGCGGAAATAGTGGAATGAAGCAATGCAATTCAAGTTGAAGATCCAAGTTCAAGCTTCATCCACAAGTTTACCAAGAAGAGCTTATTGAAGATCAAGATCATAGCTTGGGTAATTTAGTTTTAGGTTTATATTATGTGTGTTAAGTACTTTAAGCTCAATCATATACACACACATTATATTGGTTTTTATGTATATATATATATATATATATATATAGTTATATATATATACACATTATAGTTTTAGTTTCTATGTACATATAGTTATATATATACATACATGTTTTAGTTTTATAGTTTTTAAGTTTTAATATAAAATAATTGAATACAATTGAAAATACATTTCTTGTTTCATACTTATATGCATATATATGATTTCATCAATATCAATTTTATTTAGTTCAATGAAATCATATTTATTGTTTCTAAAAAGTTTGTAATATATGAAATTTTGTGAAAATATTGTATTCTTAGTTTTTGGACTTAACAATAATCATATACATCTTTTATTAAGTCTGCAAAATTATTTTGTAATGTTTCAAAACATGGTTAAGCTAAAATGTCAAAAATCATGTGTTTACATTTTCATGTTTTGGACTATTTTAAAAAAATAATGATATTTTTATTTGGGAGATCCTTTTTGAAAACTAATTTTTGTAGCATGTTTATAATCATGTCTATAATCATTTTCTAAAGTTTTATATTTTTCTGAATTTATTTGATATTTTTAAACCCTGTTTTAAGTTAACATGTGCTGTTTAAAACAGCCTGTGTGCATGTCTTGAGTCGACTCATGAACAATGTTGAGTCGACTCATAAACTGTTGTGTAGTTTATATTTTGTTTCTCTTGAGTCAACTCATGAATAACATTGAGTCGACTCATAAACTATTGTGTAGTTTATATTTTGTTTCTGTCGAGTCGACTCATAACATCATGAGTCGACCCATCAGGCTGAGTTGACTCATGATTGTCATAAAGTCGACTCACAAACTATGCTGAAAAATGAGTTTTGTTTCTACTGAGTCGACTCATTATCCTATGAGTCGACCCATGGTTTATGAGTCGACTCATGGATTTTATGAGTCAACTCATAAGTTGGTTTTTAGTCTGTAACGGCTACTTATGAGTCGACTCATGAATAGTACTAAGTCAACTCATAACACTGTAACGGCTACTTTCAGTTTTTGTCTTCTTCTGACTTTTTGGTCTTTTTACTTAGGTTCTTGCTGATGTTTTGGGATGTTATAAATACCCCAGTGCATTTAACATTCTGACTAACCAAGAAATTTGTTTAATTAAGTTTACAAGTGTTTAAGAGGTGTTTAAAACCTTGTTTCAAGCTTTGTTTCAAAAGAGAAGTTTTTCACAAAGAAGAAGCTTTCAGTTTCAATTGAGGAATTCATCCTCATCATCATTTCTTCAGTTCTTTGTGTTTATAGAGAAGTTTATCTAAACTCTTTTATATAGCTTATTGATTGTCAATTTCATATTCATATCTTGCTATATTAAATTGAATTAGAATTTCATTGTTCTCATTTATCACACACACCCTTATTGAGCTTAGATTATTTCATACAATATATTAGTGGGTATTGGTATGTGAATTAGTGAGAGTGAGCTTCCTTGTGTTCTCATTCATTATAGAGAACAAAACATTGTATTTGAACTTATATTGTGAGTATCACTTGTAATACACTTGTACACCGAGAGTAGTGTGTGGTGAGAGACGGGGTCGAATCCAATAGGAGTGGTGTCGGTTGACGAACCTAGGGAGAGGTTGTATCCGAGCACTTGAGGAGGACGACACGGGCTAGAGACCAACACTTAGTGTGTATAGTGTGATTGCATAGTGATTGTTGTGAGAGTTTTTTGGTGAGCTTGAAAACCGAGCGCGTACAAGTTTCGGCTTCCAAACCGGGTTGTGATAGTAGAGATCTCCTCGAGGTGAGGAGCGGAGACGTAGGTCGTGGGGACCGAACCTCGTGAATATATTGTGTGTTTTTGTTTGCTTGGCGTTCATCTTTATTTGTGCTCACATCATATATCGCTTTCATCTCTTTATTGTGTCACATTTAATTTACACTTGTGTTTATATATCCTTGTATATATTTCACCATATAAGATATATCTTTTTGTTCATATTGCATATTCTTATTCATAACATATTATATATCTATCTTGCAAGAATAATTTATTAATTAATTTTAATTGGTATAAAATCGGATTAGATTAGCATAAGACCCTAACCACTCACCCTCTAGGGTGTAACATTTCTTAATGAAGTTGTCACGTTCACTAGTAAAAAAAGTAGCATCCTAGACGGATTATCCTACACGGAAAAATTTCTGTCTAGGATGACGATATTATCGACGGAAAACATCCGTCTACGATATTCCGTCTAGGATGAATTTTCCATCTAAGACACTTTCTAGACGGAATTTTTTTTAACTAATTTCTTAAAAATGTTGGTCCTGCCTTTTTGGACGGAATTTTTCATTTAGGATACTTCCTATACGAAAATTTTTGTCTAGGAAGGTAGGACCCCGCAAAGAAAAGTAAAACACCCAGTTCACCTGTCCTAGTTTTTGAAAATTTGCCCTAAATTCAAAATTTTCAAGAAAAAACTCTTCTTTCTCCTCCTACTTTCTCCCTCTCGATCTCAAACCCTAACCCCACCAATGCCTCTCCCCGAGGAGCTCGGTTATCTCCCCGCTAATGCCGGAATTGACGTCAACCATGCCGACATCGCCGGTTATCTCCTTTAGGAGCTCGGTCTCCTCTCCGATCTCGCGTTGTTTCATATCAACTCGAATCGATTCTACGGCAAGATCCCCCACAAGTTCGATCGATTGAAGCTCCTCTTCGAGCTCGATGTCAGCAATAATCAATTCGCCGGGAAATTTCCGAGGGTAGTTCTCCGGCTGTCGTCCTTGAGGTACCTGGATCTGAGATACAATAAATACCGTTTCTTTGAGATCACTTCCAAGTGGCAAACTTCAAAGGGTCGAAAACTTTAGAAATCTCCTTGATTGCAGGTTAGGGGTTCTTTCTTCTCTCATTTCGATCTCAAACTTTCTTTACTTTTTCTTAGGGGCTGTTTGGTTGGTATCCTAAAAACCAAGAATAGGAAATGGGAGCATGGAAATCTCTCTTTTCCTATTTTCAACCATTTCCATCCCTAAAACTTACCCTAACATTCAATAAAATATTATTTTATCATCCAACTCATCCAATAAAATATTACTTTTATCATCCAACATCCATATTATTTTATCATCCAACTCATCCAATAAAATATTACTTTTATCATCCAACATCTAATAAAATATTATTTTTATCATCTATTACTTTTATCATCCAACATCTAATAAAATATTATTTTTATCATCACATCATCCAACTCATCTCATCTTATCTCATCTCATATTTAAAAATCAATCACATCATCCAATAATATGGTAACAACTCATCTCATCTCCTTAAACTTTCATCTCCACCCATTTCCTCCAAAAAAACAAGGAAATTGATTTCCTTAAGTGTGGGTCACATCATCCAATAATATAATGACAACTCATCTCATCTCATCTATTTTCGTATTTTTAAGAATGAACCAAACACAAGAAAAGAACCTATTATAGGAAATAAGTTTCTTATAATACATTTCCTTTTTTTTAGCCAATCAAACAACCTCAAAACAAGTTTTCTTAAAAAATCACTCACATATAATACATTTCCTTTTTTTTAGCCAATCAAACAACCTCAAAACAAGTTTTCTTAAAAAATCACTCACATCATCCAATAATATGACGACAACTCATCCAAACAACCTCAAAACAAGTTTTCTTAAAAAATCACTCACATCATCCAATAATATGACGACAACTCATCTTATCCCATCTCCTATTCTTTAATTTCCTTCTATTTTTTCCAACCAAATAACCCAAAATAAAATTTCTAAGAAATAGGTTTACTATTCTTTGATTTCCCTCTTTTTTTAGACAAACAAACAGCCCCTTACTCGAATTCTGTATTTTCATCTGATTCACCTTGTACGATTTGGATTCTGATTCAATTTCCCCCAAAAAAAATTAACTGAATTTCATGATTTTTGTCTACAAATAGCTTGATTGTAGGTATGGGGAGATTAAGATGTCTGAGAATGGATTTGAAAATGAGCAGAAGGATGATTTAGATCACGGCATCACAAAGAAAGATGCTTCCTCGGTAATTCTTTCATAATAATTTTGTAGTATCAAGCGTATGCTAGGGTTTATTACTTATTGTAATTTTGTATTGAAGCTTGCAAAGTTCAAAGTCTAAAAGGAAAATATCGGGGTGGCGGCTTATTTCTAGTGTCCCAAGACTCCCAACCTAAATGAAGCTTTGCATGTAGGCGAATCACTATTATTCTAGGCAAATGAACCTGCTAACCTGTTAATATGTGCTATCTACAACTTTAGTGAAGTGTTAATTGCATTTAACCTTGGGGTCTGTTTGGATTTGTAGGGGGTGAAGGGAAGTTAAGGGAAACTGAGAGAAGGGAAGGGAAGGGAAGGGAAGGGAGTTCCCTTCCCCTTGGTTACACCCCAATTTGGGGAGTAACAAATTTTATAGTATTAGGGGGTGAACCAAGGGGAACTAGGGTGAATTAACTTCACCTCCTAAGTTAGTATTAGGGGGTGAACCAAGGGGAACTAGGGTGAATTAACTTCACCTCCTAAGTGTTCCCAAACAAGATTAATGGAGGTGAATGGTTCCCCTCACTTCCCTTCACCCTCATTCCCCTCAATCCAAACAAGCCTTAGGTAACTCAATCCCCACCAAGATGTACTTTCAGGACATCAAGAAGTGCTATGCCATTTTGTTGTGACAGAGTATATGCTATGATGCACGGACACGGATACGGATACGACACAGATACGAGATACGGTAAAATCCAAAAAATAGGATACGGAGATACGGCAAGGAGTTTTTAAATTATTATTATATATAGAAAATTTTATAAAATTCAACTAACAATCTAAAATATGAATCTATCTCAAAATAACAAGTTTGTAAACAAAAATGAATTGGAGTACATACTCATTCTATCACAAAATAACAAGTTTGTAAACAAAAAGTACATCAAGATGAAGTGGAAGCTAGTCTGATGACTTCTTCATTGCCTTCATCATCGGCTGCATAAACTATAATTACAAAATCAATTATTTAGTCATTATCTACCACTATTTGTATAGTTACTCACATTCTTTATACAACAATAGTAATAATAACAAACTATAATCAAATTTAGAACATAAAATAATTATTTCTACATGAATAATTATACCATGCATCACGTGCACCACACATATGGTGCATACATATCACATACTAGTATGTACAAAAGAAACAACAATGGCTTGATGGCTTAGATAGGATATTGCCACGCTTCACTATGCGACCCTTACATACAATCAAAAGATGATTTCTTACCAAGAGGGAAAATGAATAAAATTAAAAAGAAAGAATTTTATAAGTATTTGAACTTCTCAACCAACTCCAGAATGTACGTTCTCGTGTCCTTCAATGCTAATTTCTCCATCAGCACGACTAGAACATCGCTCAATACTTAATAGCTAGCAAGGATTTAACGATATGAGTGCAAAATTGCACAACAAAAGCTTAGAGACTTTGGTTGCTAAATGCAACATAGAGATTCTACTTATTGGAAGGACATAATAATGTAAATGACTTATTGGTAAAAAGTACAATATCACGATATAGGGTCTAGTTGCAAAACTCAACAACATAAGGATTAATTTACAAAAAAACAATAAGAGAACATAAGCCTAGTTGCAAAAATGCAACCATATCCAAGGGTTTTTAATTGCAAGGTTGTAATTCCCCAAGCTGCATAAACAAAAAAAAGTTAGGCTCTGTTTGGCAAAACTAGCTGAAAGCTGCAAGATTATAGCTGAAAGCTGTTAAGCTAGCTGAAAACTGTGAAATTGTAGCTGAAAGCTGTTAGCTGTGTAGCTAGCTGATTGACTAGAGTTAAGCTAGCTGAAAACTGTGAAATTGTAGCTGAAAGCTGTTAGCTGTGTAGCTAGCTGATTGACTAGAGCTGTTTGGCAAAAGTAGCTGTACAACTAGCTTAAATTTGTTAAATGACTAAAAGGGACATGCAATATTATTAATATAAAATTAGAATTATTATGGGCAAAACGGAAGAAAAAAATTGACAGCTACTTCCCAAAGACGAACGCTACTTGAGGTAGCTTTCCAAAAGCTACTTGCAAAAGACACAATCTTTAAAATAATCTCCTCCTATTTTTTGTCATCAAACAGCTCTACTAGCTTATTGACCAAGTCAATAAGACACAAGCTCTTAGATAAGACACTTCTTTGGTTGCCAAACAGTGCCTTAGCCTTTTCAAAAAAAAATTAAGTGAAGCGAGACAGAGAGTCTGAGAAAGAGAGAGAGAGATTGAGAGAGAGAAACCGCATCAGAGAGAAAAAGAGAGAGAAAGAGAATCAGAGAGAGACTCAGAGATCGAGAGAGAGGGACGAGGACTGACCTAGCAGCGACGAGGACGAACGACGAGATCGCAGCGAGAGAGAGGAGACGAGATCGAAGCTATAGAGATCGGTCGAGAGAGAGGACGGGGACTGACCTAGTAGCGACGAGGACGAGGACGAGCGACGAGATCGCAGAGAGAGAAGACGAGATCGCAGCGCGAGAGAGAAGACTAGATTGAAGCTGTAGAGATCGGTCGAGAGAGAGGACGATGACTGACATAGCAGCGACGAGGAAGAGGACGAGCGACGAGATCACAGCGAGAGAGAGAAGACGAGATCGAAGCTGTCGTGGCGGCGTCGGTACTCAGGTGAGTGAAAAATTTAGGGTTTAGTTTTGGGTTTGGGTTTTGTCTTTCACAGTTTTTTTTCTTTTTGTTCGGTGAATCTCAGCCGTGTCCCCGCCTACCCTTGACCGTGTCCCTCCTGGATTGACCGTTGACTCGTGTCGGACACGGATTGATCGTGTTCGACACGTGTCGTGATGAATCCGTGTCCGATTCGAGTCGGACACGGATTTGTGGCCTCCAGGGGCGAATCCATGCTTCAGAGAGTATATGTTCATTATCTTTGTTCTTTTAGTATATCCTATAGAATAACTCTAGTTGATAGCATGTTTTCATATTATGAAATATTGTCCCTGTGGAAATCAAGTCCCTGAAGCCAACTTCCTATATATGATAAAAGACGGGGAGAGTATATTTGCAAGTGCACCTTGGCTTTTAAAAGTATAGTGGCTTTCTGTTTTTCAGATTCGTAAACAACCTTTCCCGTTATACTTTGATTTTAATACTAAAGGAAACTATGAGTGAAATTGAAACTCAAAGGAAACCTGCCACAAGTTCTGAAACAAATCAAGGCCTAAAATTTGCAAGCTTATAATTGAAATTGAAGTTGGAACTTCGGAAGCTCATAATTGAAATTGAAGATGCAGGATACCATATTCCAGAGAGTGCATGCACATCTTTCTAGAGAAATATTTTTATTCTAATACATTACCCCTTTTACAGTTTTAGACTTCCCCGTTGGTTACATGTATGTTAATTTGTACCAAGTAATATAATCCCTTCTCTACTAACTTTGATCGCAGTGTAGTTTTTCAAATCTTCTGTTATATTTTCCACACCTATATGCCAGGAAACCTCTATATTCCTCATCTGATTGATATATTTTAATTTGGACCAAAACCATAGCTTATCAGAAGGTGGAATTATAATTACATAACCAACAAGTGGTATTCTAGTTTAAGAAATTATAGTTATTATGATTGCATATGGATATTTTAGCAGTGGATGTTTAACATTAACAACATTATTGAATAACCATGGACTTAGTTTTAAATAGCATGCCTTTCGCCCATTCTCATAAAGTGTAGCAAATCCTGCTTCTGAAATGCAACCGTTCGTTTTCGATATCCCGAAAAATCCATTCCCTTGGTAAGAGGTTGTCTGATATATGCCCTTTGTTTTGATTCTGCTCGATATCCATACAGGTCAGGAACATTTCCTTCATTTCCTTTTCCTCTTTAACAATATTCAAGCTCGATATTATATTTAAGTTCATTGCATATTTTTGTATGTTTGAATTATCATTCATTCATACGCTAAATAGAATATTAACCACAATATCTTGTTCCTATGAATTGATCTATTTTATGTATATATAATTCCGTATGTAAGAATGTTGGGCGCAGAGTCACGCCCTCACGCCGCGGAAGCGATATCACCTGAGAGATAGCCCTGGCTTTCATTGTCACAAAAGCACAAGTCAACCTCTATATTCTTGTTTCTCAAAGAAAACTAGAATAGATAGTGAAACTATATTCTTGTTTCTCAAAGAAAACTAGAATAGATAGTGAAATTCTTATTTCTCAAAGGAAACAAGAATTGAAAGTGATATATTTCATCAAAGTGGTGAAATTCTTATTTCTCAAAGGAAACAAGAATTGAAAGTGATATATTTCATCAAAGTGAAATATACACTTTCCCTCTCATCGGTTCTAGGACTGAAATGTCGAGGGAACCTACAAACTATGGCAATTCACAGATAAGACAAATACAAACATGAGATTTATGTGGTTCGGCTAACTAGCCTACGTCCACGGGAGGGGGTTTCACTATAAAGGAAAAATACCAAACTTACACAAGTTCTCTCTTCCTCTCTTTCTTTTCTCCCAAAAGAACTCTACACAACCCACTTATTTTTCCCCACCCCAATTTCATCTCACAACCTCTCCTATTTATAGGAGAAATGCTCCCATGTGCATTGCTGGAACCAGCTCAAAATGAGCTTGGTGGAGTATGGGGGAGGCAACGTGCCATGCTTGTACCCACTCTCAGCATAGGGGGAAGCAGAGAGCATGGGTACGAATTCTCGTGTCCTCCCCACGTCCCCCTAAGTACGTTGTACCCACTCACGTTCACAATTCTCCACCTCGTACATCATTTAATAAACCTTAAATTTTGGATGATCACCAGAAGAACCCCACGAACTTCACCAGAGAGATCCAGGCCAAGAAACCAGGCCAAACCAGCTGCGCCACTATACCGCGGCTGCCTACCTACTCTCCACCGGGATCAAGCTAACTATAGTTCTACTATTATTCTCCAACATAATCTCCACCACACCTCCATCACTGCCCCGCAGGGCCATGCTCTCTTGGGCAAATCAACACGGGTTGATATGAAGAAAGTCCAAGCAATGCTGGAACTTGCTACCTGTGACCACCTTGGTTAACATGTCCGTGAGATTCTCATTCGTATGCACCTTCATGAGAGAAATATCGCCTTCCTCTATAACATCCCACACAAAATGATACCTGACGTCGATATGCTTGGTACGAGCATTGTGAACTTGATTTTTCGCCAAGTGAATCGCACTTTGACTGTCGCACCACAAGTTCACGC